TATCACAAAACCTCAAATGAAGTTATTATAGCCTTCAAACTAATAAGGGTCTCAATCATTATCCAGCTAAAGGAGGGAAGTAATAAAAGAGACAAGTAATAAAATTTAAGTTGATGTTAAAAAGCTGTATTTTCAAGGTCAAATGAAGTGGTGACATCAAAAAGTCCAGATATAAAGACCACATGAGAAGCGGAAAGCATTTGAAGCTATTTGTAAAAGGACTGTGGTACATAAAGTAGCTGCCATCCACGTATGTGAGGGGATGTCCAGGGTAAGACATTCCATCATCAGACAACTTCAAACTCTACTGCCAAGCAAATATTTCTCGGAAGCAATAGCCTGAAACATGAACATCTCTGAATCCTTGTTTAGTAATTTTGAAGTATTTATTCCTTAATTAACAGCATGTATTGAACATATTTGAAATGTTACTCCAGACACTCCCCAAGCATTTAGATCATGGGACTGTCCAAAGATTATATGCTTCTAACAGCCTCATATAAATTTGTTTGTTAACAGGTTTGCTACAGAATAGTTACAGAAAAAAAAAAGTTTCCCTCTACTGTTTTGGCATTGACACTAGTAAGATTTCATGATTATACCTGCATAAAACTTTGCTATGCAGTTCCATTAAAAGTATTTCCCCGCACCAGTTCCAAGTCTATTTTGTGTATAGATTCCTGACAAAGAACAAACAAGGCTACTTGAAACTTTAAAAATTTTGAGAAGGAATAGAATTTTAATCTCTAACTTTGCAGCTCTGCTGTACCTATTTCACATTTGAAAATTCCAGAAGAGTACCATGGGGGTCTGCACATTACAAACACTACCCTTTAAGTACAGGCTACTAGTCACTCACTGAAGTGCAGCCCAGACAAAATTTGGGCAAATGGCAGACTTTTAATAAAAGCCTTTTTTGTGTATGCTCCAGGTGTAACTCACACAACTAGACAGTAAAGAACAGCCATTTGAGAAAGAAAAAGAAGAACCACATGAACATAGCCAAATGGTTAGTAGAGGTGGTTGTAGATACTTGCTCACAAGTGAGTGTCACATTTACAGAGCTGCTCTTGCAGCACTTTCTGCAGCTCATAATGCTCTGTCTGACAATCCATTTTTTGGCAATGCAACACCAAAATTTTCACCTATAGCAAATAAGCTAGCACTGGACATTCAGAAAGCAGATGATCAACTCTCCAGGGCTAAAACCACTGCTGTCTGACACACTGATGATTCTTCAACACCTCCAACTTCAGGAATGGTAAGAGAAATCAGAAGCTCCAGGGTTTTTTTTCCATAGAAGTTCTTCTATTTCAAAACTGAGTGCATGTGGCAGTATAGAATACATCCATGCCAACTGGCCTCTCCACCGGTTTGCCTTTACAAGAGGAATACCAGTTAACATTTATCACATGAAACTCCTCTGCATATCTTGCCACTTGTCTGCTATTGTCCATGTTGAATCTTGTATTCAAGTGAGCAATTCCAGAATTCTTAATTCACTTTAAGCTTGAAGTCTTTTCTTTCACAGTTCCTTAATTAGTTGTTAGAATCTTCACAGAAAGAGAGCCAACTAATCAACTCCTCTGTACGTTTCAAGTTGAAGGCATACTTTATTCTAGTAAAGTGAACAAATGTTTCTTCTTGGAAACAGTTTACATGAAGACAAAAAGCATCTCCAGATTATATTTGAAACTCAACCTCTTTAGCTACTCGTTTCTCAGCTAATTTCAGTACTCATACAACACACAAGGCTGCTTTGGTGAAGCACTTCTCAAATCATCCACTCTTTTGTTCAAGACAGGCTCCATTCTACTAATCTTTCTTCAGGCTCCTTTTTGTGCAACTCAAGTGCTCAGCACTGGTGCATAAGCAGCCTGTCTACTTATCTCTCAGGACATTTTCATAGTTTGCAATTCTATTGTGTTCCTTACTCAGGACATTCCTTCCAGCGAAAACTGCTTCCTTGATGTTTATTTCTTCAGTTTAGTCATAGTAATTTCATAATTTACATCGTAAGAGTCATTTGTTATCCAGCTTTCTGAGATAATACTCTTCAGTTTATTTCTTCATGTCATTCCTCATAAGCATTTTGTACAACATATTACCAGAAGAGGTAACAGTTTTGCACCGCTTTGGTCCTTCCTACCATCTTAGAATTTAAGAACTCCTCCAGCTGTAACAAATTTCCTCAGCTTTAGACAATAATACGTGGGTTCCTTCCCAATCCTAACTTCGAATTCACAGGGTTGTTTTGTTTTTTTTTGTACCAGCTGGAAAACAGAAAGCAGACAATGCACTTCACCAAGTCTGGCTATAGATAGCTAATATAGTCTGGTCATTTTAACCAGGGCAAACACATGATAAGTAAAGATATAAAAAAATGCCTCAAGGTGAGTGTGAGTTTCTTCTTCCCACTGGACGTTGCACTCTAGTACGGAAGCATGAAAGCAGCTTGATAGAAAAGTCAATAGGGTAATAATAATTGTCACCAAAAATACAGTATGTCAGTCAATGTGTAGAATGAAGAGTATGTACTGTGAAAGTCATTCATACAGAACAACTCACAATCAAAAGGAGGGAACAGAGCTACAAATTTACTATTGCTGTGACTCATTATCAAGCAGATGTTTGAACAGCACTAATCTTTTAATTCTTACGATGCACCTCATTTGTCATTCAGCTATAGATCCCTATTTCTGCTATATTTATATAGAACATCTTGGAATAGAACTGTGCTGTTCATGACCTCAAATCTCAGAAGATAATGATGCTATTGCCTCTTACACTACCTTGCAAAAAGTTCTGAGCTTGTATCTATGCCCTTTCCTACTTCCAAGTCTGAAAAACGAGGTTCCCATATTTTTTAAATAAAATTTTAAAAGTTTAATAGAAAGACAATTAGGAGATAGAAATAAAATAAAATGTACAAATACGGGCAGGTGCCTCAGCATTCAGCCAAGAGAGCACACCCTACTAACAAAGGATTGTCCTTTAAAAACAGAACCCTATTACATATTCATAAATTCTCATACATGATTCAAATATTCCTCTTAAGTTTTACATGTTCCTTTGTTTAATTTTAACTCAGCCCCTCCCCAACAGATCAATCTTCTTGGCTCTGCTGAATTTCACACTCCCTGATAACAGAGGTTCAATTAATTTCTCCCTTGGAGCACTGGTCATTGCTGTCCTCATCTGGATAAGAATCTAAAAATGCAGGGGGGTTTCTGACTATCTTTTCAGTCTCTGGGCTACATGAACTAAAGCAGGTTTTTTTATTTTAATACCATGCCACAGCCTAACATATATATGTATTATACCACTATTTTAAAGTTTCATCAATAACAGAAATAGAAGGAACTATATTAATAGCAATACACAATACACAATAAAACACAACAAAGTTTTCTAGCCTTATACATATAACATTCATTTTAATATTTGCAAAAAGCCAATAATAGAATATGTATCTATAACACAAGAATCTCATCTTGAAATATCTCATCATACTCCAGTTTGTGTTTTTCTGTTCCTCCCATGCAGAATTTCCCATTTCTACTCATAGACATATAAGCAATAACATGTCCTGAATCAATCAAGCTGAAGTATATAGGCTTTGGGTCTCACAGACTTTCCCCTTCTATAACTTTTGATTAGGCAGTCTGACTACGACATACTTTACATGCTAAAATTAAAGACTGAATGAATATACTAACACAGACATTCACACAGATGATGAGGCTCAGCATATCCTGTTAACATACTTCGGAGTTTCTCAGATATTCTGAGGCGAATATTTAACTGTTCCAAATATTTCTTTCTCTGAAGAGGGTGTTTCCTTTAAGAATTGCTGCAAACACTTAACGTATTCAAGTGGTAATCTTTGGTCAGAACTCTGGCAGGATGGTGAAGTTTTCCTAAGTCCATTTAAAGGACTTAAGAATGGTCAGCCTGGAGCTACTCCTTTCCACCTGAGCCCCCACGACACATTCCAACAAGTATAACCTCCACTAATACCTATGGATTAGCTCGATTTCCATCACACTTCCTCCTTCCTATACAAGTTTTTCCAAGACCTCGACCAGCTCCCACTACAGGATGCTTGTTTGCACTTTTTTCTAAGACGAAATTGCCTTTAACAAAACTAAGTGATCCACCAAGAGGGCTAGGAGGAAAAAAAAAAATCAAAAACATTAGGAAAGTAGTTTCAAACTGGAGGAGTTTATTCCATATCTTCTACAGAGATATGTACTTTTCAAACACATTGACACAGGCTACTATGTCAGTACACGAGCTTAACAAAACTTCCTCGAGGCATTCTCCCTTCGGCGCGGTAATTAGCAAGTAAGTGGCGCATGAATGCATTACAGAGCCATCCAGGCTGCCCATGGCGCGGACAAGTGCTGTTATTACTGCTCGGCCGCCCCGGTCCCCGCCCAGGCGCGGGGTCGCTCCCGGCCGAGCTCCGCGCACGGCGGATGACACCTGCCGGACTCCCCTCCGGCCCCGCTCCACACATCACTCAAAAGAAGTCTGTTCTCTCGCTACGTTTTTCTGCCTTGTTATCAGCCCGTGTTCAGGTTTTCCGCCGGCCGGGGGCCAAAGCTCAGTTCCCCCGAGAAGGGCTGCCTGGCCCCGCACCCACGGCCCAGAGCTGGAGGCCGGCTCTCACCGCCCCTCTCCATCCACACAGAGAGGTCCTGGGAAAGCACAATAGTTCTGCCTTCCCTCCGAGGTGGGAAATTTAAAAAATAACGATTAAAACAAACCAAGCCAAAGCAGAACCCCGCCGCCAGCCCTGGCGCTGGCGAGCAGCGGCCGTCCCGACAGCTCCGTGCCCCGGCAGCTCCGCGGCGGGGCACCCGCACCCCGCCCACGGCACCCGGTCCCCACAGTTCCCCGTCCCCCCAAACGCGACCTACAGGCCTCCGGGCTGCGGGGTGGAGGGGGCAGCACCCCCAGGCAGGGGCAGGGGGTACGGCAGAAGGGACACTTACTGGGCGTGCAGTGCAGAGGTGAGGCTTGCGAAGAGACGGGCGAGGAGGGAGGCGCCGCCGGCGGCGGTTCCTTGAGGGCGGCGGCGGCCGCGGGGGTCAGGACGGGGGGCAGCATGAGGTACCGGTCGGGCTGCGGCAGGCAGCGCTGGCACACCGAGTGCAGGCAGGGCAGCAGCTTGGGCCGCCGGCTCTGGATGGGCTGCCCGCACACGCCGCAAGTGTCCAACAGGTTGAGCGGGGCCGCGTCCCCGCCGCTCTCCGCCGGGCCCTGCCGGCTCTCGGCCTCGTTCTCCCCGCTCAGCGGCGCCGCCGCTGACGCTGCCCCCGGTCGGTCCGCCGGGCACGGCCCCCCCGACGCCACCACCGCCGCCGCTGCTGCTAACGCCGCTGCCGCCTCTTCCATTGTCCTGCGCCGGCCGCCGCCGGAGAGCCGAAGGGAGGCGGAGCGGCCCCGCCGCTTCCCGCCCGCGCCGCCGCCGCCTCCCGGCCCCCGCCCCGCGGGTGTTGGTGCGCCCGCCCCGGCAGCGGCTGCCCCGCCCCGCCGGGACCGCGCCCCCGCCCCCGCTACGTGCGGCGAGCACTGCCCCGCCCGCCCCGCGGGAACCGGCCCGGCCGCCGCGGAGCCCCGCCCCGCCCCGGGAACCCCGCCCGCTCCCCGGCACCGGGGACCGCGCTCTCTCCCCTGGGCGGCCGCCTGGCTCTGTCCCAGTGAGAGGGAGGACGGGAAGTTCCTCTTGAATATGAGGAAAAACTTCTTTAGTATGTGCGTGACCGTGCTCTGGAACAGGTCATGCAGAGAGGGTGTGGAATCTCTCTCACTGGAGATGCTCAAGAACCGTCTGGACACAGCCATGTGCCATGTGCTCTAGAATAACCATGCTTGAGAAGGGAGGTTGGACCGGATGACCCACTGTGGTCCCTTCCAACCTGACCCATTCTGTGATTCTGTGAGAGTCTTTGTCCCTCGGACAGGGTGTTAAAAGAGGTCACCCTGCCATATGTGCAGGTGGGAGTCTGTAAGTTTTGGTTTGGCAGATCACAGCAATGCCACCACATGCAGCCACGTTACCTGACTGAAGCTAATTGGTGATTGGTACAATTAAAAAATACAACAGGAAAGTACAGTTCTTGTTCAGACACAGCATTTTATTGAATCAAAGGCCTTAAGTATTGTGCTGGTGAGACACTGGAACAGAGAATTATGGATGCCCCAACCCTTGAAGTGTTCAAGGCAATGTTGAACTGATACTGAAATCAGACACACAACAAACTTCCTAACAGAATTTTGAGTATCAGACAGCAGGCATTATTTATTGCAGCTCTGGACACATCAGAAGGATAGCTCTGTTAATCTGACATGTGTCCAGAAGGTACAACAAGGAATTGATTCCATCATGATCATACATATTGAGTACAGTATACTTCTGATTTATACATAAACATCACTTTTCATAGAACTAATTTGCATGCAACTGCCTCCTACTGGAAGTCCTTTAATGTTCCTAGAGAGTAGTTTGAAGGGGTCTTTGGTGTTTGTACTCACCAAGTGCCTCCAATGTTACAGATGACCTTTTCTTGGACTTGTCTTAGGACATGCGCTGTTGCTTCTTTTTACATAATTTTCCCAAAAAGCCACTATATTCCTCATTATCTGTTTATCTACTGGTTCCAGCTATGTTTATCATCCTGTGAGCACACTTCTACATGCTTTTATCTTTTTTTTGTTAGTTGGTCTTTAAGCTCCATCCAGGAACTTCAGGAGAACTGAAAATATCTATTCTCTGTGTTATCTATCAGGACAGGACTTTGAGCAGCCTGGTGCAGTGGAAGGTGACCTGCCCATGGTAGGGTGGGGTGGAAGCAGATAATAGTTAAGGCCTCTTCCAACCCAAACTGTTCTACGATTCTGTGAGCTTCTATGAAGCATGCATGCAGACACAAAGCATTGCTTACAGTTGGTTGCTGATCAACCATAAACTGTTGCAAGCTCCTCAGAATATTCCAGACAGCTGTGCTTAAATTCCCAGAGCAGCTAATATACTTCCCACTTCCTTGCAATTTCATCAAGACCCTAGCACCACTCCTGTAATAAATAGGACCATAGAAAACCTATACATGACAAAATACTGATTTCTTCAGCACAAGGAACAACCGTGTACAGGGCCATTGTCATGATTCAGCATGTCTCACATGCATAATTTATCACGGTAACAGGAGAACAATACTACAGGTTGTTTTGGGGAGGAGGAACGGATTTGACCTTACAATGAGAAATTGTTAAGAGGGAAGTGTCATTCTCTGATTAAGAATATCAGTGGAGGGGACAAGCCATACATTCTCAACCCTTCACCTGCCGACACATAGGGAAAAAATGCCTCCAGAAGCAGTCTCCTGAAGTACACCTCCTGCCTCCCAGTCCAGCTGCCTCTGTCCCTTTACTAAGAGGCACCAAGTGGTAGGAGAGAGCGCTGTAGTCCTCTTTCCTGCCCTCCACCGGTTTGGCTGTCCAGTGCCCTATGATGATGTGCTAACAATCCATTGTGACAGGAGCTAGCAGGCTGAGAGCATGCCAAGTGTGAATGATGAAATGGGTTCTGGAATTAAGCTTAAGGAGGATGGTACAGGTTCTGCAAGGTGCAAATTACCAAAAAATGCCATTAGAAAGGGTCTGTTGAGGAACAGACAATAACTGAAGAATGGTTGATTAGTATTGAGAGCAAACATGATCAGAAACTCAGTAAATAATACATTTGTGAGGAGTAACAGCAAGTCATACGATCATCAAAATAGATAGTTTCTGTAACTACCTATTATAGTATGAACTATTTCTCTAATAGATGTCAACACAGGAAAATAGCAATACTGTGTAATGGTACAAAGATCACCCTGTGAAGGAACTGAGTAGAGGCTTTGTTGCAAATGATGATCCCCGTGAGGCAGTGTCCCAAATATTAGTAAAATAACAGGATTATGTTTCCTGCCATTTGTTTGCTTGGAATGTTTGCAAAGCTTGCTCAAACTGTCCTGTAAAATCTGTAGTTGCATGGCATCTGAACAGCATCTGATTTTTGAACTTGCATAATTTGAATTTGAATGTAGAGCCTTCCTGTTAGTGGTAGCCTCATATTAGGGGTACTTGGGACAGGAATAAAAAGGGCATGGAGGGACAGAAAAAAAAACACCCTGAGAAAAACAGCGTATTTTTACATGTATAAACATGTAGCAAGGGAGTGAGGGGAAAAGCTTTTAAATGTAACCACATTGTCTAGACAAAATGTGACAAGAGTGAAAGAAGTGGCATCCCATTATACTGACCTGGGTGCACAGCTTTTGGCCACAGCTATACCACACCTGGTCCTCAGGAACACAGGCAGAGCTGGCTCGGAGCTGTTGGAAAAGCTCATGTAGACAAGCCCACCACAGGGCAAAATGTGCTATACTAGCTTTTGTCTGAAAACAGCTGATGGTTTTGTCTAGTCTCTGTTGGAAGGCAACTTGTTGGGCTCTCTAGTGTTTCACAGGAATGAGTCAAACCAATGAAGAAAGAATGACGATGGTCATTCTGGAAATCATGATGGCTAGCTACAGGAAGCACCCAAAAGGTAAGGATCTCTTCCCCTGCTTTTCTACTCATTACTTCTGTTCACAATTTCTTTTACTACCTCCTCTGCTTCTTCTGGACATACCATTTAATGCAAATTCTAGAAGCATTTTGCCTTCTGTTCAGATATACACTTTGTGGCTGCAATCTAGATATTTGCCATTTGTAATCTACATTCCTGTGATATACTCCACAAAAAGTTATCATTCAGAAACCTCAGCTGTAGAAAGAAATGGCTGCACTAAAGAACTTCTCAGTGGAGATCTCATAACTAGAAGTTCCTTGCGCTTAGAATCTACTTGCTGGCTCTAATTTCCTCCTTTTGTCCCTGGTTCAGTTTGTCTCTTTCCTGTATTTCTAGATTTTCTAGCAGTCACTTGACCTTGCAAATGCAAACAGATGCAAATCTTCCCAGATTACCGCTAAACATCAGCATGTGCATTTCCTTCTCTTAAAATAGCCATGTGACACTAAACAGTCTCTTTTCAAAGTTTTTTTTTTACAGACCAAAATAAAGCCATGTGGCATTGCAGTGTGCCAGCCCAGTTTGACCTTTATGTGGCAACATTGAAGGAAGTGGGGAGGAGACTCAGCACTCCGTGTCATTAAAAAATGCTTTTGACACAGTAGTCATCCAAGAGGTAGATCTGGCAGCTTTTTGGCCAGACTCTATTACAGCAACATGAAACAATCGCTGGGAGGATGTGTCCCAGAATATACAACCTTTACTGTGTTCTTTTGAGAAATGGACATCTTAATATGTGGTTGGTTTTTGAAATCTGTAAAATATAAAATATGTTCACTGGAAGCAAGATGAATGCATTAGGAATTAATGGTTAGGGAAATGTAATATATTAACCTTTCCAGCAACAGTGAAGTAGGAGAACTTTATGTACTAAAACATCTGGAACAAGCAATGAATGAGCATAGTGCCTCAAAGCTCTGAAGGCTGAATTAGGAATTGCTGTAGAATATAGCTTAGATCTGTAGGCTGCCTTTTGGAACTCCACAATCAGAAGCCCATTAAGCTATAGTAAACTACTTACTTGTCATTTCAGTAAGGAGAGAGTGAGAAAAACCTGGTTCCAGTAATTTTCTTAGGATTTTCAACTTTCTGTTTTCTATACTTCACTCACCTAACATATACAGACACACATATAAAACTTTTCCATATTGAAGGATGGCTTATTGGAAACCTTTTTTGTATCCTATTACACATGCTCTTTACCCAAAGAAAATATTTCTTCAGCACCTGGCAAATAACAACTGACACTTTCACAACTGAGAAGAGATTTGCTTGACCAGTTTCAGCTGGAAGCTTACCAGAGATAAGGCTGGGTCCAGCACTCTGGAGTGGGCCAGCTGCCATGTAATGTTTCCAGTTCTCCACACAGCATGCCTCCACTGTAAACTAGGGAATAATATCACCTCTTCACAGTTTCCTATTGGTCTCATGGTCAGAGAAGACACTCTGCTTTTGTAAATTAACCCATCCCGTTAGATTCCCTTTCAGGTAAAAGGAGCTTGCCTAAGGTGAGAGGAAACAGGCCAGCTCTGAACACCCAGTATTAGATGAAAAC